TAACTACCCGCCAAGGGCGGTCGGGCGGTGGAATCGGCTGCAAGAGTCCTGCTTTGCGCTGGCGAGAGGACTTCGTACGCTGACACGTGTCGCACGAGCGAATGTTATCCTCTACGTCTGCTGCAAGCCCGGGCCAGTAGTACGTGCGACTAAGCGTCTTAGCCGTCTTATCTGCTCCGAAGTGCCCTGCACTAACTACGTTGTGCGCCTCTGAGAGAAGGAGCTGTTGAAGAGGGCGGTAGGCTGGAACCCAAATCCGTGTGGTACCCTTCCGTATGTAGACACTACCCTGCACCTCTGCTCCTGCGGGCGGCTGCGGTGTGAAGTCGGGATCTACTGTGTAACCGTGCTCGAAGAGTGCTGTGAGAAGTGGGTGGCCAGCAGTGACTGTGAGACTGGCGAGCTGACAACTAGGGCGAGTGAGCGGATCTGCTGGGTTGCGCACGCCTGGCTTGTACTCTATCCTGTAGTGAAAGCTCCCTTCCATGAACTCCATTCACCTAGCCTGGCGACGAATCAGCTGCGGCTGCGACTTGAGGAAACGAAGCGAACAGTGGTCCGTGCGTATAACACTATCTGCCCCCTCTAGGTAGCACCTCCACACCTTATACGCATGGATGATCGCGAGCGCCTCCTTGTCGTGTATGGGATAGTTCAACTCCGCTCCCCTAAGCTTACGCGACTTGTACGCGATCGGCTGCAACCCGCGTCCCTGGTCCTGAAGAAGCACTGCTCCTATGGCCTGATCGGAAGCGTCGGTCACTACAACGTATGGGCGAGTGGGATCAGGGTACGACAGTGTCGGTGAAGACGTGAGCGACTGCTTCATCTGCTCGAACGCCTGCTGCTGCGCTGGACCCCAAACGTACTCTACGCCCTTCCGAAGTAGGTCGGTGAGTGGACTAGCGGTCGATGCGTAACCCTGAACGAAACGACGGTAGTAGTTCGCGAAACCGAGGAAGCTCTGCAACTCCTTGACTGAGGTCGGTGCTACCCAATCCTGTACTGCTGCGATCTTCTTCGGGTCAGTCCTAATGGCACTAGCGGATACGACGTGTCCTAGGAACTCGACCTCTGGAAGGAAGAACTCGCACTTCGACTGCTTAGCGTATAACTGCTCCCTCCGTAAGACCTTGAAGACCTTCTGCAAGTGCTGCACGTGCTCATTTTTTGTCTTAGAGAACACTAGGATGTCGTCTAGGTAAACGACAACGAACGACCCTAGGAACTCGGAGAGGACTGTGTTCATGAGCGTCTGAAACGTCGCTGGGGCGTTGGTCAATCCGAACGGTAGAACCTTAAACTCGTACAACCCCTGCTTCGTACGAAACGCCGTCTTGTGCTGGTCCTCTGGAACTACTCGAATCTGGTGGTAACCCGAACGAAGGTCGATCTTTGAGAAGACTCTAGCGCCCTGCACTACATCGAGAAGATCCTCTACTCTCGGCACCGGGAATCTATTATTGACGGTGGCGGCGTTCAGTGCGCGGTAATCTATGCACATCCGTAACCCTCCGTCTTTCTTGGGTGCGAAAAGTATCGGTGCGGCCCAAGGCGATCTAGATGGCTGTATGAAACCCTGTGCGAGAAAGTGCCTAACTTGCTGCGTCATCTCCTCTGTCTCCGCTGGACTCAACCTCCACTGCGGCTTCGCTACTGGCCTGCTCCCCGGCTCCAATTCTATTCGATGGTCTACTGCTCGGCTGGGAGGCAACCCTGGGGGCAACTCGTCGGGGAAGACGTCTGCGAACTCTGCTAACAGTGCACTCACCTCAGCAGGAAGAGTCGCCTTCTCACTAACTGCTGCACTCCCTCCTTTCCCCTCCTCAGCTTCCACCTCCTCAAGAAAAACCGCGAAGATCCGTGCCGCACGCTTCACTAACTGTCGCACACGAATATCATTAATGATAGCTGTGGATGATGTGGCCCCATCGCTCCACTGTGGCAGCTCCCGGAACTCCCCGTCTACCTTGACGCTGCAGCTTCCCTGAGCCCAATCGAACTGAGTACTAACCGTCCGTAGCCAATCTCTCCCGAAGTTAAAATCGTATCCGTCCAGCGTCGCAGAGTCGAAATCACGCCTGACTGTGATCGGTCCTAGCACTACGCGCAACTTGCGGATGATCAGTCCTATGTGAAGTGGCGTCCCATCTACCATGCGAGCGTCCTTGAAGTTGACTGCTGAATCTGCTTCGAGATGGAGACGAGAAACTAACGATGAAGAGACGAACGAGTGGCTAGCTCCGCTATCTACGAGAATCTTAACAAGAACTCCGCAAAGCTTCCCTAGAAGCACGACTGGACGATCAACAGTGTCTACCTCGTTCTCCGTAGATGACTGCTGCAAAGCCGTCTCCTCTACGTTGGTAGACGTGGCGGGTACGGGAACCTCCACACCAGCTAGCGACCCGCTATCTACTGGCGGTTTCCGTTTCCCTGCTGCCGCTCCTTAAGCTGTGGGCAGTCTCGCTTCATGTGTCCTGGCTTTTTGCAGTAGTGACAGTTCCCCCTAAATCCCATTTTCTGTGAGCCGTCACTGTTAACTGCACCAATCTCCATGGGCGATGGTCCGTCCGTCGATTGAGCGTCGTTGATCGGTCTGTTGTATCCCCTATCGCGATCGTCACGACCCCGTCGGCTTCGTACTGCGTCGACGCGTTCTGCTGCTGCGACTACCGACTCGAAGGTGGACAACCCGTGAATCGCAATGACTTCCGCTATGTCCGGCTTCAACCCTTCGAGGTAGCGATCGCGCATCTCTGCTTCCGTGATATCGTCTATCTCGTTGCAGATGCTCAAGAACCTTCGCGTGTACTCCTGGACGTTGCCTATCTGTCGGAAATGACGCAGACGCTTCCTAGCAGCTTCGGAGGCGTTCACCAAATCGAACCTACTTTTCAGCGCCGCTTCAAATCCTTCCCATGTGGTCGGAACCGTGGTAACACCCAAAGCTAACCTCTCTAAGCTCGAAGTTGCAGCTGCATGCCCCACGCCCTGTTGATGCCCGTCCGTTTGAGCCCTTCTTTCAGCAGTTTGAGTGAGTTGGCGCCACCACTCCAACGCCACCCCTCAGCAGTGTAACAGCGTACTCGATCCGCTGCTGCGCGTCCGCCTCTTGCACCCCGCTCGCGGCGAAGTAGTTGTTCAGCATGAAGAGCCACGTCCGCACGTTCGCCTCGCGTTGACTTGGGTCGAACGACTCGGGTTTCTGCGGCTTGAGTGCGCTTCGACGTTCCGGCAGCGCTTCCGCGCCAGTCGACGTGTTGGGCGCAAGAGTTGGTGTGGCATGACCATGGGGGTTAGAAGCCAATTCACGAAGCTGTTGCATTTCAGCTCGTACCTGTCGATTTTCCAGCGTCAACTCTTGAAGTTGGCGCATGAGTTCGGCAAGCGTGTTGCCCATGTCGTGGAGGACTGCGTGCATGGTTTCGTCCATGTTCGCTCAACGACTCCAAGTCTGCAAGTCGGCACCGCGGGACGATGACGTCGTAGTCTCGTCGTCGACGGTCGCTCGTTGGAAGTCGCTCCCCGCGAAGGCTCTGATACCAAGTGTTAGGCCCGACGACCTAAGTCCGCTAAAGAATTAGCGGGGTCGACTAAGTCGAGGATGAAACGTGGCGGAAGACTTTGGCGAAAGAACTATTGGCGAAATAGGCGAAGAAGTTACTGAGTAATTGAAGAAGAGTTGAATGAGAATTGATTGATAATGACAAGTACAAGCAAGGTTTATATAGCATGCAAGAAACAAGGTTGGAAAGTGGAATGTGGGACCAAGAATTGGAGTGCAAGAAAAGTAGAGTGCCACGTGGCACTAGAGAATCTGAGAAGATAAGGATAATGGTGACTAGGAATGTACTGTTCGGAATGAACAGTAAATACCCCTCTAACAGCACTACTTCAAATCTGGGTGTAGATTCCCGTCAGGCTCGTTGCTATTGGTGGTTGTTCAGACTTGTCAGAAGCAGATCGCTATGCCAGGAACGCGGCTCGACTCGCCTGACCATAGCATTTTGGCGCCAAAAATGTGTTAGCTCACGATTGTGACAGCGCAGACGCTGTACCGCCAAAACCTCCAACGGCCTGGTCGCATGTGGTAACATCCAGCTGAAGTTTTCATAGATGTCAATCCCGCTGCTGCACAAACCAAAGCGCGACAAGGTCCAGAATGTTTGCTTCTTTCTGACCCTGAACCCCACCAATCGCGATGTTCCTTTACGGTAAATTCGCAGGCGGAGTATGCTCGGCAGACTGGTTCCAACACCAGCAAATGCTTGGCTAACACATGTTTGGCTCCATGTGCTCAAGGTCGGACTACGGTTTTGCCTGGTGGTTTACGGTCAAAAGTGGTTGAGGTAGAAAAACCGAGATGTACCGCACTGGCTAATCTCCAAACCGATCTGTGCGCCTCTCGGCCCACAAGTGCCATGATCCAATTTAGTTGTCTCGATGCCTCGGTCTCGGCTCCAACCAATCCCAATGCACTTTTACCTGCCACTTCTGATCCCAATATGCAAACTTCCTGTCCCGACCATTGCTCTTCCCTAAATACAACCCACAGGAGAGCAAGCATTCTAGGCCACCACTCATCCGACATATTTCTTCTTGCAACTGTCTTTCACATGGCCAGCGTGGTCAGCAGAATATGGTGGCCTACTCGTGACCTTGTGGTCTTGTTCTGTAGTCTTAAGGGCTAAAGCAAGAGGTTGTTGCTGGTTACCACTTGTACGGACGGTGCGTTGGGAGTACTTCTTCCTGGAAAGTCACTTTTCCTCTGCGCGGTAGTTGCATTTCGAATGTGCTATGCTGACTCCGATTTAACGGTGACTTATCAACAAGACATGGATCAGACACGTGTTCGGTTCGCCTCCTCCCAAAGCTCTAGATTTGTTAACTAGATGCAAAATCTCTTCTCTTGGACCAATCAGGACGCTATTCGACGCTTTCAAGCACCCGCTGTCAGGAAATAAGCTAGAAGAAATACCTTCACTCAGTCTACAGCCATGGCCGCTAACGTAATCCATGTCGCTAACGCGAGGGAGCTGGTCCGAGACGTAGAGGCTCTTTTCCCGAAATTGGACCCTCAGACGGACTGGGATGCTCGCATGGCCGCCCTGAAGCGCCTCGAGGGCCTCTTCCGAGGCGGTACGTGCTCTCCATGCATAGCTCAAAGTAGCGTCAAGTTAGGAGATTTGGAGTTCGATGCAGAGCAAGTTTCAGAGATTGTCGTCATCAAGGTGTCCCTCTACGAGCTTGCAGTTCGATTCAACGTTCTACTAGTCTCATTGTAGACTTTGATTTTCATATGCTCCTTCTCTCACAATTTCAAACCCCCGCCGTAGTGACAACCATTGTGATTTTCTACACGGTGTAGCTTCCTGAACTTTTGTTCTGTCCTTACCTGCTCAGAATACTGCTCCAGCTCATTTGGTAGTCTATGCGTCGCCCGTACAAGGGGCAAAAAACACTTTTCGGCTTCGTGCCTTTCCTTGGTTTTGATTCCCGATTCCCGATGATCTGATCTCAGCCGCACGATCTGGAGTAACGGGAATATCGGCTCTGCTCCGGCAGCTGGCCATGCCTCACCTTGCCGTCCAACTCCAAGACGGCCGGTCGAAAATCATCAAGCAGGTAAACTAGACGGTCAGTCCAAGGTCGTCCAGCAGGTAACCTGACGGCCGGCCCAAGGTCCTCCATCTGGGACGGCCGAGTACTGGCCGTCAAACAGGTAACCTGACGGTCGATCTTCGTGGAGCAGGTAACTCGATGACCAGCAGTAGTGGTTTCGGCCACTAGCAGCCAGTGCGTGGTTCGTTATGAAAGGTCGGAAGGATACTCTTGATGCCAACCTGCCATAGCGGGCGAATAATAGGTTAGATGCGTGACAAAACAGAGTACCGGGGACGAACTTGGCGTTTTAGATTGCATGTGCGTGTCTCTGAGCGTGCGTGCATGCCTCTGATTGCACGTGCGTGTCTCTGACTGCACACGTGTTTGTTTCTGACTGCACACGTGTTTGATTCTGACTGCACACGTGTTTGATTCTGCCAGCACACGTGCATGTCTCTGACTGCACACGTGCATGTCTCTGACTGCACACGTGCGTGTTTCTGATTGCAGGCGTGCAACCTCGTGTCAGCAATCGCTGAGTGCCTGTCCGGGGAGTTCGAACCATGCGCGGATATCGTGCTTCAGGTACGCGATTCCCCATTTTACACGCATTCTCACACCTAACATGTGCCAGCGATGCAACTGCGTGCCTTCACAAGTCACAGCTCGTCCGCTCTTCATTTGGAATTCTTCAACCCTAACTCCAGACCCTAACCTGCTCCCCGTCATGCTCCCTACCTCTCACCCCCCTCCGCCCATCAGGAGCTGATGAAGCTGCTCGGGTCGTCCGCTCCTGATTTGAGTCAAGTTCAAACCCTAACCTACTCCCCTCCGCCATGCTCTCTGCCTCTCACCCCCCTCCGCCCATCAGGAGCTTATGAAGCTGCTCGGGTCGTCTGCGGCTATTATGGCCGACTCAGCTGACTCCACCATTCGAACTGTGAGCTCGCCTCCCGACTTGTGTGTCCGCGCCATCTCTGGTGCTATATATCTCTATGTATCTCTATATATCTCTATATATCTCTATACATCTCTATACATCTCTTTATATCTCTCTGCTCCTGGGGTCGTCCGCGGCTATCATGGCCGACTCTGCACACTCCACCTCCCGAACTGGGAGCTCGCCTTTTCTTGTGCTATCCCTCCCTATCTCTGTCCTCTCTAGTGTTACCACCCCCGTCCCTTGTCCCCCTTCCCTCGTCCCCGACCCCGACCCCGTCCCCGTCCCCGTCCCCGTCCCCGTCCCTGACCACGTCACTGTCACCTTTCCTTTCCCCTTCCCTGCCGCTGTCCCTTACTTCTCCTTACCCCGTGATCCCCCCTGCGCGATAGGCAATGTCCGGAAATTATCCCTTATGCCGTTGGCCTCGTTCTTTCAAATTTCTACCTTGTTCGTGCCATCCTATTGCCTTACCAGGTGGTGATGCGCTGCAGACCCGCCCGCACGCTGAGCAAGGTGTTTGAGACAGCTCGGGCGTCAAAAAGCACAGTCGTGAGGAGCAGGTGAGTTTATAGGGCACAAGGGGTAGGGTTATGGAGAAGGGGGCATGGAAGGACAGTAAAGGGATAGGAGGGTTCGGGTGAGGTGTGCAGTGAGAAAAGCTCTTGCAACGTATTTTAGGAGCTCTTGGAATCGGCCTGCTGCTTCATCCCTGCATCACACACTCCCTCCAGATACCCCTACACAACCATCCCCTGCCAGGTATGCGGAGCTGGTTTAATCGTTCCCCTATTCCACTCAAAGCTCCCATTTCCCCATTTCTTCCTCCTCTCTTCCCCCGCCCCCTCCCCAGGTGTGCGGAGTGTGTTCTACTGGCGCTGGAGGTGTGGGGCCCACAGGGCCAGCTGGTCTAGTCGTTCCCCTATTCCACTTCTCCCGTCTTTCCCCTCCCCCCCTCCCCCCACCAGGTGCGCGGAGTATGTTCTACTGGCGTTAGAGGTGTGGGGCCCGCAGGGCGAGCTGGTGATGCTGGTGGATGCGATTGAGAGCAGCATTCGCAGTGGTGTGCAGGATGGCACACGGGAGGTGAGCAGTGAGAGAAGGGATGGGACGACGGTGGGGAGGAAGAGAGGAGAGGGGTAAAGGAAGGTTTTGACTCTAGGGAAGGGCACAAGCGAGTGGAGACAGGGGATGATGGTGGATGTGATTGAGAACAGCATTCGCAGCGGGGTGCAGGATGGCACACAGGAGGTGATGGATAGATGGGAAAGGTGAATGGGAGAGAGGAGAAGCAGAACGAAAGAGGTGAGAGAATAACACGAGAGACGTGAGAGGGGATGAGAGAGGAGTGGGGAAGCAAGGCAGAGTGGTAGGTGCGGCAGAGGAAGGAGGCAAAGCCGTGCGATGAATCATGCCTTATTGACGTCTTCCTTGGCCCATTCTCACATGCCCTCTCCGTTGCCCCATGCTCGCATGCTCTTTTTGAGTCGACTCAAAGATCGACTTATCACACAAGGAGGCAAGGCTGTGCAATGAAGCATGCCGAATTGACGTCTTCCTCGGCCCACGCTCACATGCCCTCTCCCGCACTCCATGCTCACATGCTCTTCTCTCTCCCTCTGCTCATATGGCTTCGTCCTCTCCCTCGGTTCAAGTGATCTCTCCCTCTCCCTCCCCACGTCTTCTCTCCTCCTGCTTACCAGGTGCGAGCCACAGCCAGGCGCAGCTTCCGGGAGTTCTCCCACTTGTGGCCGGAGAGGGCCGCCCGGCTGCACTCCTCGTTTGATGTCACGGTGCAGAAGGTAAGGCGGTGGCGAGGTGAGGAGGTGGGGAGGTGAGGAGGTGGGGAGGTGGGGAGGCGAGGAGGTGGGGAGGTGGGGAGGCGAGGAGGTGGGGAGGTGGGGAGGTGGAAAGAATGGGAGAAGGTGAGAGGTTGTTGGCAGGTTGAGAAGGAAAGAAATTCTGAAGTCGCTGACTCCCCTCTGGGCAAGTCCCTTCCTCCTTCCCAGGTATTGGTCCAAGAGGACAAGTCAGCAGCACTGTCAGCACACTTGAAGAAGGACCCGCCTCCCCCCCCCTCGCCCTCGCGTGCTCGTAGCCCCCAGCCCATCCTGCCTCGCTCTCATCTCTCCTTTCTCCTCCTTGTTCCTTCCTCCTTCCCAGGTGTTGGCTCAGGAGGACAAGTCGGCAGCACTGTCAGCGCACTTCAAAGATGCTCCTCGCCCCTCTCCCTCGCATGCCCAACCTGCCCCGCGCTTATATCTCCTTTCTCCTTCCTCCTTCCCTTTTTCCTCCTTCCTCCTTCCCAGGTGTTGGCTCAGGAGGACAAGTCAGCAGCGCTGTCAGCACACTCTAAACGGGACCCGCCTCCTCGCCCCTCGCCTCGCCCTCACGTGCTCGCAGCCCCCAGCCCATCCTGCCTCGCTCTCATATCTCCTTCCTCCTTCCTCCCTTTTCCTTCCCAGGTTTTGGCTCAGGAGGACAAGTCAGCAGTGCTTTCAGCGCACTCAAAGAGGGACCCGCCTCCTCGCCCGTCGCCCTCACGTGCTCGCAGCCCCCAGCCCATCCTGCCTCGCTCCTCTGCTGCCCTTGGGAACCTCATGGCTGCTAGGCGACAGGCTGCCTCTGCTACAGCCGCTGCTACAGCCTCTGCAACAGTGGGTGCTTCCACAACCGCTACTGCCACTTCTGTTACAGCCGCTGGTACAGCCTCTACTGCTACAGCTGGTACTGCTGGTGCGGCTCGTACGGCGACTGTAGCAGAGGGTGCAAGGGGGGGACTGGCGAGTCTTAGCTTGAACTACACAGCGGGTCAGCCTGTCAGGGGGGAAAGTGCCTCTGGTAGTGCTGCTGCTACAGGTGGTGGTGGGGGAGGAGGGGAAGGAAGGGGAGGAGGAGGTGGAGGTGGGATGGGGCTGGTGCGGGGTGTGAGGCTGGGTGCACAAGGCACTGCTGCTGCTGCAGCAGCGGTGAGGGTTGTGGCAGGAGCAGGCGGAGAAGGAGGAAGAGGAGGGAGAGATGGCTCTGTAACAGGGGCAGGAGCAGCAGGGGCAGCAGGGACAGCTGTAGCAGCTGGATCAGCAGGTGTTGTGGGATTCAGGGCTGCTGGGCCAGCTGGGAGGGGAGAACGGATTGGTCCACAGAGAGTGATATCAACGAGTGAGACTGGCACTGCAGCTGGTCCTGCTGCTGCTGACAGTGATGATTATGATGTTGAGTATGCAAGAGACGGGGTGTCATCTGGGGGAGGTTCACCTGGGAGTGAATTGAACCTATCCCCCAAGATAGTCCGTGTTTTGGACTTTGACTCTGCTAGCCGCAGTGCTGGTGCTGCTGCTGCTGCTGGTGTTGGTGCTGGTAGTGCTGCTGGTGTGGCGCGTGTTTCTATAGACGATGTTCCTATGAAGGAAAACGTGCAGGGGAGATGGGGTGGAGCAGCGGCAGCGGGAGGAGGTGATTGTGGGGTTGGGCCGAGGAGGCAGAGGCACAGCATTGCAGCGTCAACCAATCTCGAAGGTCTGGTGCCTTCAAAACTTCTAAGGACAGCTGCGAACAGGGTGGGGCGAGGGGCGCTGGGGGAACGGGAGGCGGAGGGGAAGGGGGGAGTTGGGGTGCGAACGGGGAACGTGAGTGGAGGCGGAATTGCGGGAGGTGGGATTGGGGGGGTTGGGGTTGGGGTTGCTGGTGGGGAGAGGAGGGCGGTGCATGCGAGGAGGTCTGTTGGGGGGTTAGTGCGAGTGAGTGAGGAGGCTGGGGGGAGTATGGGTGAGGAAAGGACGAGAGCAGCAAGTGGGCTTGTTCGGCCTGGCGCTAATGCAGCAGCAGCGGGAGGAACAGCAGCAGCAGCAGTGGGAGCAGGCGCTAGCAGGAGAAGAGGCTCGCTACCTGGAGCCGTGCAAACTGCACATGAGCAGCAGCAACAGCAGCACCGTCAGCAGCAGCACGCACCACGAGCTTCTATGCCACCACGACACGCCAACCACTCCCCACCCCCTCCTGCTCGTGCACGGGCATCCCTCCCTCCTACTGCTGCTGCTCCTGCTCCCAGGCCTGCTAGACGGAGTGTTTCCAGCAGCTATGGGGCTGGCGGGATGGGGGCAACAGGAGGGGCAGGAGCAATCGGAGGGACACGCTTAACGGGAGCTATAGGGGCGAGAGGAGGAGCAGTAGGAGCAGCAGGGGTAGGAGGAGGGAGGGATCGGACACAGCGAAATAAGCCACAGCAGCATCAGGATGTGGGGGAGGAGATGAGGTTGAAAGTAGAGGAGGGGTTGCGGAAGGGTTGTGATTGGTCGAGACGGGTGGCGGCATTAGAGGCTGTGAGGGGGTGTGTGATGGGCGGAGGGGATGAGGCGGCGTGGGGAGGAGCGGAGGGAGATGGAGTGAGCCGCAAGGGTGTTCAGGCCGTTGTGAAGGTACGTGCATGGGGATGGGCAGTGGGTTTAGAGCGTGTTTATGAGTCGATTTTGAACGGACGGAAGAGGGGAAGAAGGGGTGAGCTGCAAGGGTGTTCAGGCCGTTGTGAAGGTACGTGCATGGGGTTGGGCAGTGGGTTTAGAGCGTGTCTATGAGTCGATTTTGAACGGACGGAAGAGGGGAAGAAGGGGTGAGCTGCAAGGGTGTTCAGGCCGTTGTGAAGGTACGTGCATGGGGTTGGGCAGTGGGTTTAGAGCGTGTCTATGAGTCGATTTTGAACGGACGGAAGAGGGGAAGAAGGGGTGAGCTGCAAGGGTGTTCAGGCCGTTGTGAAGGTGCATGCTTTTTGTGTTGCCATGCCTGGGGATGTCAGTGTGTTCGCCCCATCACAGATTCCCCTTTTATCCCTTTTCCGCCCCTGGCAGCACCTGGACAGGGTAATGGAGCTGCTAGTAGCGGGGATGGAATTCGCCCACACCAAAGTCGCCTCCTCAGCTTTGTCCCTCCTAGAAGACCTCCTGCTGCACTGCCCGCCCATTCTCGCCCCCCCTCACCTCCACCCCTGCCTCCCTCCCCCCTCTTCTCTCCCCCGTGTTTTGCCCCTGGCAGCACCTGGACAGAGTAGTGGAGCTGCTAGTAGCGGGGATGGAGTTCGCCCACACCAAAGTGGCAGCCTCAGCTCTGGCCCTCCTGGAAGACCTCGTGCTGCACTGCCCGCCCATCCTCACCCCCCCCCACCTCGACAAATGGCTCCCCCCTCTCTTCTCCCGCATGGCTGACACTGGGAAAGACCGCATGCGCGCACATGCAGAGGGGATTCTTTTGAGACGTCTCAAAAACACCCTCACTTCACGTGGCTCTTCTCCCGCGCGGCTGACACTGGGAAAGACCGCATGCGCGCACAGGCCGAGACGCAGAGGGGATACTGGATGTTACTGAGCTCACTTCATCACCGTTTTCCCCTTTTCTTCCCGCGTTTTCTCCCCGTTGCCCCTGCAGCACCTGGACAGGGTAGTGGAGCTGTTAGTAACGGGGATGGAATTCGCCCACACCAAAGTCGCCTCTGCAGCTCTGGCCCTTCTAGAAGACCTCGTGCTGCACTGCCCGCCCATCCTCACCCCCCCCCACCTTGACAAATGGCTTCCCCCTCTCTTCTCCCGCGTGGCTGACACTGGGAAAGACCGCATGCGCGCACAGGCCGAGGGGATACTGGATTGTGCTTTAAACAGCTGGTTTAGGCGTGGAGATGGGTGTGGAGGGGTGAATGGGGGGTTGGGTGAGGTGGAGAGGAGTGGTGAGGGGTTGAGATGGGGAGAAGGGGAGGCTGTGCAGGTGCTGCTGCCGGTGTTAGAGAGGGCTTTGGAGGGGCAGAGGGGGCCGAGGGTGAGGGTGTGTGTGGTGGAGTTTGCAGAGAAAGTACTGAGGGGGAGGGCGGGGAGAGAGGAGGAGAGGGAGGAGGGGGGAGAGGAAGAGAACGGAGGAGAGGAGGAGCACAAAGGGAGGCAGCGTGGTGGCAACACAGCGGTCCGAGTCAGAAGAAGCACAGTGGAAGGTGCGCCGTTGGTGTCAGGTAAGAAATTCGAAGAGACGAAGGTGATCCATTGGTGTCAGGTAAGTGATGTGCTATACGTGATGCTGGAGCGGGCGTTGGAGGGGCAGAGGGGGCCGAGGGTGCGGGTGTGTGTGGTGGAGTTTGCAGAGCAGGTGCTGAGGGGGAGGGCGGGGAGAGAGGAGGAGAGAGAGGAGGGAGGGGAGGGGGAGGACGGGGGTGAGGAGGAGGGGGAAGGAGGGAGGCAGCGTTGTGGGAGTGCATTGGCTCGGGTCAGAAAGAGCACAGCGGAAGGTGAGAGCGTGAGCCTCTAGTTACGTCAGAGTTGACTTTTGAGTCGACTCAAAAGTCAACAGCGGAAGGTGAGAGCGTGAGCCTCTAGTTACGTCAGAGTTGACTTTTGAGTCGACTCAAAAGTCAACAGCGGAAGGTGAGAGCGTGAGCCTCTAGTTACGTCAGAGTTGACTTTTGAGTCGACTCAAAAGTCAACAGCGGAAGGTGAGAGCGTGAGCCTCTAGTTACGTCAGAGTTGACTTTTGAGTCGACTCAAAAGTCAACAGCGGAAGGTGAGAGCGTGAGCCTCTAGTTACGTCAGAGTTGACTTTTGAGTCGACTCAAAAGTCAACAGCGGAAGGTGAGAGCGTGAGCCTCTAGCTACGTCAGCTTAGACTAATCTCAGTTTCCAGTGCACTGTTCCTTCGAAAGCGAGGAGTGATGAGTGGTGGTTTCAGAAGAAGTACTTCGAGACAAGTCGAAAGAGTTCCTTTCTACCCTCACCTGCTTTACTCGTTCGCTCGCTCCATTCTTCACTCACTCACACGGGAACGCACCCATGCTTCGTCCTCCCACCCTCCCTCCCATCCAGCCAAGAGCATCAGGCAGTGGGGCGTGCGTCTCCTCCCACTGCTCAAGGACCCCAAGACCCGCCTGCCAGCAGCGCGGTGTCTGGGGGAGGTGGTGGCACAGATCGGCCCTGTGTTCCTGGCAGCTCACATTGATTCGCTCCCTGAATCGGTACGTTAGGTTGGGCTCTCATGTGACATGTGTCTGTCTAGTGTGCATGCATCACTGCTCAAGGACCCCAAGACCCGCCTGCCAGCAGCGCGGTGTCTGGGGGAGGTGGTGGCACAGATCGGCCCTGTATTCCTGGCAGCTCACATTGATTCGCTCCCTGAATCGGTACGTTAGGTTGGGCTCTCATGTGACATGTGTCTGTCTAGTGTGCATGCATCACTGCTCAAGGACCCCAAGACCCGCCTGCCAGCAGCGCGGTGTCTGGGGGAGGTGGTGGCACAGATCGGCCCTACCATCCTGAGAAGCCACAAGCCTCATAGACTTGCTCCCCGACTCAGTACGCTGGGTTGAGACCTCATGTGCCTGTCTAGTGTGCATGCATCACTGCTCAGCGATCCCAAGACCCGCCTGCCTGCCCTGCTCAAGGAGCTAACTGACTTCCTTCCGCTGCTAGAGAGTGCATCGCAGGCAGATTCTTTTGGCGCCAGAAAGCTCGACACGCACTGCCACAAGCTCCCCTGTCCATCCCCCACACGCACTGCCACAGGAACTGACGGACTTCCTTGCGCTGCTAGAGAGGGCAGCACAGCCAGTTGTAGCTTCACCTCACAGTTTGCCTCTTCTCTCTGTCCCCTCTCATCTCATCCCTTGCACTGCCACAGGAACTGACGGACTTCCTTGCGCTGCTAGAGAGGGCGGCACAGCCAGTTGTAGCTTCACCTCACAGTTTGCTTCTTCTCTCTGTCCCCTCTCATCTCATCCCTTGCACTGCCACAGGAACTGACTGACTTCCTTGCGCTGCTAGACAGGGCGGCACAGCCGGATGTAGCGGTGGCTGTAGCAGAGTTCGTGCAGGGGAGTCAGATTCACGGGCATGGACATAGCATGTCGGCAGCTGGGCCGAGACACGAACGAGCGCCGGGAGCAGGTACTGTTATGTTATGCTTGCATGTGTGTACATTCCTGGGGAGTCAGATCCATGGGCATGGGCATGGGCATGGGCATGGGCATGGGCATGACAACACCACGACAGCTCGAGCATCAGTAACAATCGCCGGCTCAGACATGCATGCAGCTGGGCTCACTCACTAAACGAGACATTGGGCAGGTGGTGTGGCCACTTGTAGTACACAGGCACAGTGACACACTCACACTTGCATTGCTAACCTCCCTGTCTCCCCCCTCCCCTCCTCCTCCCTCTCCCTATTCCCCATTGGTTACACCACTGCAGCTCGAGCATCGGCAACATCCGCCGACTCAGGCATGCACATAGCTGGTCTCACTGAACGAGACAGTGGGCAGGTGGTGTGGGAGGGGGGAGACGATGGGAGAGGAGTGGGAGAGCGAGAGGCATTAAGGGAGGATGAGGGATGGGAAGAGGGAGAAGATAGACGGGGAGGTGAGGGCGCAGGTGAGGAGTCTGAACAAGAGGAGGGTGGAGACGAGGGTGGAGACGAGGGTGGAGACGAGGGTGGAGACGAGGGTGGAGACAAGGAAAGGCGTGCTGAGGGGGAGATGTATGGTCAAGGGCCAATTTCGCCTGGTGAGAATGCGGTGCAAGACGGTATGGACCCTTTCTTTGCGGCGCCCCAAAAGATTCATGGTGAAGAGCCTATTGCGACTGGTGAGAATGGGGTGCGAGGCGGTATGGAGCATTCGTCTGAGTCCTCTTTCCTTTCCTTCTCGGTGGAGGAGGAGGGGAGATTGGGAGAGGATAGGGAAGAGAGAGGAACAGGGTCGCCTGGTTGCTCGGTGACATCACCCCTAGTGGGGATGCAGCAGGGGGGGCAGGAACAACAGCAGGAGGAGGAGGACGGGGAGGAGGAGCAAGAGCAGCAGCAGCATTACCACCACGACTACCACCATCACCTGCAGCAGCAGCAGCAGCAGCACCACCACCACCACCAGCAACAACCGCAGGTGCACCATCACCTGCTGCAGCATCAACATCACCGGGACGAACAATTGCAGCAGCAGCAGCAGCAGCTACGCCAAGAGCCTGCCCTCTATAGCCCTGCTGCTCCTAACAACTGCGGATCAGTCAACACCTCCTCTTCGTGCTCCCCTCGCCCTTGCTCCCCCGAGCCTTCTTCCTCCTCATCAGGAGCATCAGCAGCATCTGCTTCAACAACCGTCACCGACTCAGCAGTGGATTCAGCAGCCCATCACTTAGCCAAGCACGTCTCGCTAAGTTCTGCTGTGGACTCCCCGGGTGCAGCTCACAACCCCTCTTTTCTTCCAAGCTATGCTCCTCTTGCTACAGATGACTTCGCTAAGAGAGATGAAAGGCTGCTTGACCAAGGGCCATGGGGAGGAAGAGCGGAAAGTGGGGAAGGGGGTGCTTTTGCTGGTGGGGAGGAGTGGGTGGGGTGGGAGGAGGAGAGGGAAGAGGTAGATGATGCATGGGTGGCAGCTGAAATCGCTGATGCCATGATGTGGGCGACCGGGAGAGAAGAGATGTTGGATGTGTGTGGCGAGGAGTGTAGACTTAGGTTGGGAGATCAAGACAGGTTCAAGAATGAGAAAGCAAATGGTGGTGAGAGGAGGGAGGAACAGAGTGAGATGGATGTTGTGGAATATTATTCGTCGCTTGTTGGGGTCCCCGGGGTTTTGGATGCTGCGATTGGTGCTCCAGAGGGCAACCTAGAACGAATTAGTTATGTGGTGAGCATGGCAGCAGCTGATTAATGATGTATAGATAGGTTGTCGAACTAGGTAGGACGGTACGATAGGCACTCTTTTATGTTGTTGGATGAAATGTCCAAAGAAATGTCCGAACCGTATGAGTAGGTATCAAGTTTAAAGAAACTGATTATGTAAACTGTCCAGATGGGCCTCCTACCTGGTAACCTAATGACGTAATCTATTAGCTTATTATCAGAACCTGAATTCCACTTGAACACTTTATTTGAAAGGGTTCTTCCTAACAGTTTAGAGAGTGACCCCTCTAGCGGAGCTCCCAGTAAAACCTGTACTGGCAGGAATTTTCTGTTGGTAATTGCAGGCTGTTGAGCCTTAGGATCTACGTGCATCCCGCATCCTACGGCTAGTTCTCCGTACATTCCTGAGACTGCTGTGGGTTTAATTACTCGTCTCATCACTGCCGTCTGCTGCTGCTGTAACTGGCTATTGTCGGCCGGCCGGCAGCCATGTCTACCGGCGGGTGGTTCGACGCGATGAGCGTGCGACACTTCATCATGCAGGCCCTCGGGTTAGGTACGTGCGTGCGATCGGTCGCTATAATTACTTTTTGTTGTTGCAGGTGTTTTTGTTTGATTCTCGAACGACGCGATGAGCGTGCGACACTTTATTATGCAGGCGCTCGGGTTAGGTGCGTGCGATCGGTCGCTACATGCGATTTGTTGCTGGAATGACTTTGCGCGTCATGTAAATCGGCCGATTCGCAAGGCACATCTTCGCCGGCATGAGAGTGTGCGCGTCGACTCGACAATTAGGTATGGTTTGGTTCCGTCTGGTCAATCCAGCGAGCCCGAACCATCCCCGCGGCCTGGATGCGTGTTAATACTGATATCAAGCGCTTGTATACGCTGTTTCTGTTTTTCCCTTTTCTCCCTAGCGTTGCCTGTGTCGAATGACATAAGGGAAAAGTGCCTGTTTCTTTTTTTTTTATGGCAAGATTTGTCTGGTCCTCTAGATTTTTGCAAGGATCTGAACCCGTATCGCTGTCATAGTAACTGCTAAGGTCCTGTTTCCCGTTTGCGGCCCAAACATGACTAAATTCCCCCTTCAGTGAACCCTCCCGTGACTAACTTCGCAAAACATTATGGCACGAAACCTGGGTCTCGTAATGGCTTAAAGCTGTCTGTTACCCTCTCTCTGCCTTCCCGTCTCACTATTTTCGCAAAACACTCCTCTCTTCCTCCCTCTCCGTCTCTCCTTCTCCTCGTTCTGTGCCTCTCCCTCTCCCTCTCTCCCCTACCATTTCCCCTTCCCTCCGCCCTCCCTCCCACCCGCGCTTCCTCCCTACATCCCCCCATCTCTCCCCTCCGTTTCTTCTCTCGCTATCCCCGCTGTTCCACGTCTTCCAGGCATGATAGTGACGTCAGCGCTGGTCATCTGGAAGGGCCTCATGTGCTGGACCAATAGCGAGTCGCCAGTTGTCGTCGTGCTCTCAGGCTCCATGGAACCCGGCTTCAAACGAGTAAGAGTTGCCCTGGCCTTATAACGAGTAGTATACACGGGCTTGTGCACGTGTGCCTCCTCCCCTCTCCTATTCCCTCTTATGGAATGAAACCCCCTTGTATTGTCATCGTGCTCGGGCGCTCCATGGAACCCAGCTTAAAACGCGTACGAGCTTCTCTGCGTTCGTAGCAACGTTATGGGATTGTAACGCTTACATGAAAGCTAGAGATGGACCAGTGTTGTTGTGGTGCATGTGTTGCATCTGTGCTAGTGGTGCATGTGTTGCATCTGTGCTAGTGGTGCATGTGTTGCATCTGTGCTAGTGGTCAGGGAAATCATTCCTCTCCCTTCCATGCTTCATCTCACGCCTCTCTCCTCCCTTCCTCTTTCCCTCCTTTCCATGTGCTGCGCGGCATTCTCTTTCTCCACAACCCCACGCCTCTCAAAACCGTCCCCCATCCTTTCTCCCCCCCCCTTCCCCCTTCCCCCTTCCTCCTTCCCCCTTCCCTCCCTCCCTTGCAGGGCGACATTCTCTTTCTCCACATGAACCCAACGCCGCTCTCTGTGGGGGAGATCGTGGTCTTCAACGTGGATGTGAGTCATGCCACGTGGATGTGAGGCATGCCATGTGGATGTGAGGCATGCCACGTGGATGTGAGTCATGCCACGTGGATGTGAGTCATGCCACGTAGATATGAGGCTTGCCACAGAATGTTGGATCGCACATGTCGCTGCATGAACGTAACGCTTAAATGCAAGTCTTGCATGCTTTTTTTCTTTCCTTCCGTTTTCAACACTTACACTTGTATTAACTGAATTGGATTGTGCTACCATGCGATGCTGCAGTAACTTCTACATGATTAACTTTCAGTAATAATAATAAAAAAGATTCTCTCCCACTTTTCCGTGCAATACCCTTCCCTTTTCTCTTATTTTTAACACACACAGGGTCGAGACATTCCCATTGTGCACCGTGTGATCAAGGTACATCTGCTTTCCCAACTCCAAAACGTGCACGTTGATTCACCCCATTCTCAGATGCATCATCACATTTTCTTTAGTTCTAACCTCAGTATCTTATATTGATGTTTTCTTTCTGAACCCCTACTTGTCTTTGACCATTTATACCATCCTTGGCTCAGAATTTCGATCAATGAAATTACTTTCTTGCCACTTGACATGTCACACTATTCTTCCCTCCTCTCCCACACCCTCTTCCGCCTCTTCACACCATCCCCAGGTCCACCAAGAGGCCGACCCTGACGAGTTTCAGGCACTCACAAAAGGTAGGCTGGAGGATATTTTTTCTAACAGTAGGCGAGGCACCCTTGCTCTGAACGTCGCAGAAAATTCTGGCGCTCACTAAGTGTATGCCAGCAATTCGCATTCCCTCTTCGTTCCTCAACTCGTTCCGTTCCTGCTTCCGTCCTTTCACTTCTCTTCCTCTTTCCCGCATGCCTCTTCTCCTTCCTGTCTCCTCCCTGCCCTGGTGCCCCTCTGCTGGTGACTGTGTCTAACATGCATAGCGTGCACGTGTTGTAGGGTGTCTTCATGCTGCACCATGCTTGGTTGGTTTTGTTTAATGACTCACCATGTGTGTGTGTGTGTGTGTGTGTGTGTGTGTGTGTGTGTGTGTGTGTGTGTGTGTGTGTGCGTGTGCGTGTGCGTGTGCGTGTGCGTGTGCGTGTGCGTGTGCGTGTGCGTGTGTGTTTCTCTTTTTGTGCGCCTGCAGGTGACAATAACGAAGGGGACGATCTGCCACTGTATGCGGAAGGGCAGCTGTGGCTGCGCAAGAAGCACATCATTGGGCGCGCCATGGGGTGAGTTGAACATCCATGGGGCGTGCACAGGGCGTGCATGGGGCGTGCATGGGGCGTGCATGAGGTGTGGTGGGATGGGGTAACTAGGTGAGTGCAGGCATCAGCTGTTCCTTTGCCCATGTGTGCTAATGCGCTGTGCCCCTTCTTTTCGCCGATGCAGGTACCTCCCCTATATCGGCTACGTCACCATTATCATGACTGAACACCCCTACATCAAGGTACAGTAATACAGTTTACCCTTTTTTATGATAACATCAAAGTAGTTAAACACAACATACCCTGTACATCCCCTCTTCCCCCATACTCTTACCCTCCCTTACCTCCCCCCGCCCCGCCCATATCTCCTGCCTCCATACCATATGCTCTCCCCGCCCTGCCCTCCCCCCCCTTCCCTCCTTCCTCCACACAAGTTGCACTTGCACTGCATTTGTTCCTCCTTTTTATTGTTCCTTCACTACACTTGTTTGCTTTGTACATATGTTGAACGCTTGTTTCGTTGCTTTTGTTCTGGTTTTAGGCATGTCAATGTTACTCGTGGTATTATGAAACGTCTCTGCCTCCATTTTGCCTGTCCCCTGCGTTGCAACTTACAGTTCATTCTCATCGGTGTTCTCGCTATTCTTGTCCTCACATCCAAAGACTAAGGGTGCATTCCTGTGTCGACACAAATGTCTCAGTCGCCTTTTAGCGACCATTACTGTATTTTTAATTGGTCAGCATGAAACGCGCTGACGTTGCTGACGAATTGTAAACCGACTCGTCATTTTAAAAAAATCGCACGCGGTTCGAAGTGTCAATGCACCTGGGCATTCCGCGCATAGCGCATCGAAACCACACCTGAGCCATGTTATGAGTTGTACTAAGAAGAGTGCGCGGAAGACTTTATAAAGAAGGTGTGATTACAGAATGACGAAACAATGAAGAAAGCGAGAATATATAGGGCGAAAACTAGCTAGGCGAGAACCTCTAGATGTGCGTGGCTCGGAAATGTCGCGATTGGTGCGGGGCGACTCGGCAGTGGTTCGGGCCGAAGTGTAGGCCGAACCTTGAGAGTGCCCCGAAGTGCTCGGGGCTGTACGCCCTAGGAGCAGACTCCGTAATGAATAAGTCATATTCATTACACTCTCCCACCTTCTAAATAAGGTGCCCTTATACGTAGGCGAGTCTTGCAGTAGCGTGAAAACTGCAGATCTCGGTCAAAAACCGATTTGACGGTGCGGAAGCGTGTTGACGTTTGAGTTGACGCGTGGCTGAGCGCGTTGACCAGGCAATTTTCAGAGAGTTGGAATGTCAGCCGTTCGATACTGCCGATGTCGATCGGGGCGGTTGAAGGCGAATGACGAGTTGAAACCTTTCGACGAAGGAAAGCCGTCGATGTAAATCGTGCGGTGTTGACGCTGGCGATGCTGGCGAAAGTTCTGACACGCTGTCAGGTGTCAGTGAATCGGGGGTCGTCGATGCCGATGAAGACATCGCAAGCGTCCGTCGTGACGGATTGTCAGACGAAGCTGTCAGAAATAACTGCCGAAATGTCAGAGATCTGCCGAGAACAGTGCATGAGCACGCTTTCTCCCCCCCCTGAAGAAAACTGCTGCCCACCGACATGTGCACAGCTGCGCGGGCACAGAACCACAATCGCCTTGAGGCCGAGGGTAGAACAGAATACCAAATGTTATAAACTCCCGCCTGAAACGCAACCGCTGTGCTGTCGAAATTGTTGTCGGTGGCGGAAATGTCGAAATTCTGACTCGTACTGCTTCCAGGGTAAATCGCGTCGAAGTCCCTTGAGTGGTAAAATCGTTGTGCGCCGAGACTCGAAACCCTTGGAAATATTTTTTCCTGCAGGAAACATTCTTCTCGTCTTGTAGTCGCGACTGCTGCTGCAGAATCTCCCGTGACTGCCACCCCGAAATTGCTGCCGTCTGTCTTGTTGCTGTGGCGAAATGCCTCGCTGTAACTGTTCCAGCTGTCGGCGCCCCCGGCAGTCTTGTCCAGACTCGCCGAGACCTTTCTTGCATTGCTCCGAGAACTCCCGGGCAGGGACGAATACAGCTGCTGCTCTTCCCCCTGGTGACCAAATATTTTTTCAAAGTTGAAACTCGAACTGTCGATGACGTCAGCTACCTCGGCGACGTTGTCGTGACTCGCCGAAAACTGCGGGGCAGAGGCGAAAAACTCTCCTTCCTTCCCCCACCTGTTGCGAAAATTGTCACCTGTGTTGCGGCTGGTACCCCCGAACAGCTTCCGATTGTACGGCTACAAATTTGACGACGAGTGCCCTCGCATGCTTAATCAAGCGACGCTGCAGTCGGCCGTCGGCACGGATATTGTCAGCGACCCTGCTGACCAGGGCTCAGGTTTGCAGTTGTTGGGAAAATAAACGCATGACTTAGTGCGTTTCTGTAGTATCGAACCTCACCCGATACTGAAGCACAACAAAAGGAGTACGAAGTCGAAAAGGCGCGTACCACATCAAACCGCAACTAGAGGTTGCGAGCTGTAACCGCCTGGAGGTTACGTAACAGCAAGCGACGCTTCAGTGAACAGTAACCACCTCGATAGTCAAAGCGCTACGCGTCTCGATAAACATAACCGTTCCTTGTAATCTATCTTTTCTATATATTCCTGTATGCCCTTTACTTTAATCAATTACTTGTTCTCACATACCAGCACAAGTACATTCACTCAAGACTTCCGCTGTGCTACTCTAGCACTTACTAGCCTATTCTCTGCAAAGATCCTAAGGCTGAAATTCTCAGCCCAACATGGTATGAGAGCAGTCAGAGAACAAAGGCTCTCGTCATTAAGCCTCTTTCAGGCTACCAATCTGCAAACGACCAAGAAGTTCAACCTTCACTCAAGAAAAGCAAGACATGGCAAGTGGCAAAGAAAGAAGATCATCTACGGGATCTACTCTACCCCGGTCTCCGAGTTGCAGACCGAAGGAGGAACAACGCCCGGATTAACACCGGAAGCGACGGAACGCTCCACTCAAGCACCAGTGGCGCCGCCAATCTTCAACCCAAGCCTAATGGAGGAGTTCTTCAACTTCATGTCGCAGCAGCAGTCCTCACAACCTGCAAACAGCAACAGCGTAAACAACGGAGCGGCACCAATGAGTATTGACAACTCATCGTTCGGACGACACAATCAACAAACACCAAATTCGGTCTCACCTGGTTCCTTCACGTTCATGCCGCCCCGCCATCCAGCGACTCCTCTTCCCGCCATCAAACGAGACCCCGAAGAAGTCCTGCAAGTACAAGCACAGTTCAACAACATCCTACGATTGCACACATCCACACCATTCAACGGGAAGGACTTCTACTCTTGGAGCTTCGAATTTGAACTCCTGATGGAAGGCGCGAATCTTCTTGGCTTCTTCAACGGTACCTGGCCATATCCACACAACGGCGAAGACAAGGACAAAGAAAATTATACGTATCACTCCCTCATGGCTTACACCGTTCTTCTCCGAAACCTGTCGCCGAATGAACAACAAAGCATCCGCGCCTACCGGAACTACGCAAACTCCGCGGAACTCGCTTATCAACATCTGCGAAGTATTCATCAAGCATCCGACAGCGTTACGCAAAGCCGACTCATGGCACAACTAACAACAGTTCAAATGCAACCTGGAGAAAAGGCCATGCCTTACATCAGTCGCTGTCAAGGACTACGCGACAGACTCATTCGCTGCGGAGGAAACTTATCTGAAGAAGCTTTCGTAACCGTCGTTCTTGCCGGCCTTGGACCTCAGTGGCGCACCACCCGCTCACTTCTTCGCGCTCACGGTCGACTCTCCGAAATGCATCTCTGCGCCGAACTTCACGCCGAGCAGCAGGAAATGGACCTGTTCGAAGAACGCAACAACAAAAGGCATCATCAACCAATCGTTCTTTACACCAATCGACGACAGCCACGCTACCAAAATCGAGGACACGTACCTCCCTATTGTCATCTTTGTCGGACTTCAGGACACACACGCTTCAACTGCCCTCAGCAACAACGACAACCAGCACCATTCTCTCGTCCTCTGCGACCAGTGCCTCCCCACATCGCGTCAACTCAACAGCGACCCGCTACCGCCTCAACGACTACTTCAACACGACCGTCAACCTCCACTTCGGGACCTGCACAGACACCAAGAATCGTCGCCATGGCACGAACAACAGAGTCAAACATCGACTCGTGCATTACCGGCTCTCCACCAACTTACAGTCCTGATGAGCAACCATCACCACCACCGTCGTCCCTTAACGTGAATCCAACGTACGCCGCCATCGCGAACCGTGCACCCACCGGACCAGACACATGGTTCCTCGACAGTTGTTGCGGTCATCACATGTGCTCTTCATCACGATTTCTTCAGCGCGAACGACGTCTTCCGCGAGACGTCATCATCACCATCGCCAACAACGAAAACCTGCGCACCAACAAACAAGGAGTCGTGGAGCTTCAGTCAAACGAAACAAACGTTATTCTTCAATTAAACAAAGTACTCGTCGTCGACAACCTCGGCTTTAACTTACTGAGCGTCAGCCAACTCATGTCGAAAGGCGTTCACCTGGAGTGCGACTCCGACGCCCTGGAAATCCGTCTTTACCACGGAAAAGGGGGGGTCTTCATCGGCCGTGCAATCCAACAAGATGACGTGTTCGTCCTCGACTTCGTCCCCGACAAAGGCACCGCAGACAGCGACGGTATAGTCGCTCTCGCACCTTGGACGCATCCGCCAGACCTCGACCCGAACTTCAGTCCTGAAGGCTTCTGGTACTCTCGTACCATTCCCGAAGCTGAACGCACCAACGCGCTTGCCGTCCTGCAAACACAAGCCACAACACCTGAGTCAGCACCCGTCATCGAAACAACAACTGCACCCGTCACAACACCAACAACCTCCGAACCTGCAATTGAAGAACCAACCGTCGTCGCGGAACAACCTTCCGAAACTCTACAGCTCGGTCCCTCCGTCGCACCTCCACCTCTCATCATCGACACGCCACCGACAGCCGCCCAACAGTTAACGCCAGCACCACGCGCCGTCCATCGAAGTGCAGCAACTCACGCCGCCTTCTTCGCTAACGCAGACTTCTATCGACGCTCCGTAGGTCACAGCGCCTCCGAAGACATATGGCATCAACGTCTTGGACATCCTGGAAACACAACACTCTACAATACAATACGAGCCGGAGTGTTAGATAAGAACGCCCTACTTCTTCCCAAC